ATAAAATATTTCAAATAAATCTAAGAAGTACAAGACCAATACACTAAAAACTATATATCACTCCAAGAAATTAAAGGAATAAATGGAGGAACATACCATACTCACGGATTAGAAGACTCAATGTTGTCAGAAGCTTGACTCACAAAAAGAAGAAAAAAATCTTTACATTCAATACCATCCTAATGAAAATATTAACATGATTTTCTGTACAAATTGACAAGGTGAATCTAAAATTTATAAAGAAATGGAAAATAATATACAGTAGCCAAAGCAATCTTGAAAAAAAAAAGCTGGAAGACTCACTTTGTGACTTTAAGCTTTCTACACAGCCACAATTATCAAGATAGTATGCTTTTACTGTAAGGATTAAACTAGATAGATGGAACACAAAACTGAGTGCCTAGAGATAAACCTATACACATACACTCAATTGATTTTCATCTAATGTTGTATCAAGTCACTTCAATAGGGAATGGGAATTCTTTTAAACAAATGGTGCTAGTACAACTAGGTAAACTATTATGTGTTTTCCAACTTTACCAAGCAATTAATTTGATTCTGACACTATCTACACCAGGCAGTGTACTTGGTGTAGATAGTGTCTCACAGCGTCAGATCTCATAGTTTAAGGGCTCAATTCCACTAGACTACTCCCACTTCAGACACCAATCACAGGTCCAAGTTGTTACCTGTGCTTCTGGACTGACTAGCTATAAATCAGAGGTTTCCATAACATTAAGAGGTTCCCTTAACATTCAAGTGTGATTAATTTGCAAGAATGGCTCACAGAACTCAGAGAAACATTTATGTATGCTTACTAGCTTATTATAAAAGGTTTCAGAAAGAATATAGATAAATAGCCAGATGAAGAGATACAAAGGGCAAGGTCCAAAACAGCCCTCAGCATAGGAGCTTCTGTCCCCACAGAACTAGGTTTGCACAACCCATGAAGATGTAAATACATTTCACAGAGCTTAATCTACACCACACTGTCCTTCTTCTTTCCCTTCCCACAGATCAGTGGATGAGGCTGAAAGTCCCAACTCTCTAAACACTTGGGTCTTGCTCGTGACCAGCCCCATGCTGAGTTTATCCAGAGTCCCCACTGTAAGTCACCTTACTAGCATGAAGTCAGGTGTGCTCAAAAAGGAATTCTTCATGAATGACAAAAAATACTCCTATCAATAACCCTGGAAATTCCAAGGGTTTTAGGAGATTTGTGCCAGGACTCAGGGGAAAAGAACAAATATATTTCCTATTATACCACAACTATGAAAAAATATAAACCTTTATCTTACTTTCCACACAAAATTTAATTTAAGCAAGCCAGAACTATAAAGCTTTGAGATAAGAACATATGAGATTATGTCTACCTTAGAGGAGACAGGCAAAGATTTCTTAGAGAGGACACAAAAAGCATTCAGCATTAAAAAAATTTTTTTGATAAGCTGGATTTCATGAAAATTTAAAACATCATTTAATCAAAAGGCAAGCCACAGACTGGGAGAAATATTCCCAATACATATATCTGACAATGGACTCACAGCCAGAATATATTAAAACTCTTGCAACTCAATTATAAGAAGAAAAATGAGCCAATGAAAAAAATGAGTATAAGACTCAACAGATACTTCATAAAGGAAGACACAGTGATATCTAATACACACATGAAAAGGGGCTAAATATCACTGAACATCAGGGAAGCACAAACTAAAATGATAAGAAGATACCATTTTACTTCCACTAGTGAAGAGACTGACAACACCAAATGCTAACAAGATGTGAAGCAACTGAAACTCTTAAGAACTCTTATACAAGTATTTATAGCAGCATTATTCATAATAGCCAAAAACTGGAGTCTACCCACATGTCCATCAACAGAACAAGCAGTATTTTATTATAGTCATGCAATGGAATACTAACTACTCAGCAATAAAAAGGACTCATTTACTGAAACAGGCAACAAAAGCATGATGCTCAAATGCATTAGACTAAGAGAGAGAAACCAGATATAACTACATTCTCTAGGGTTTCACTTATGTGAAGTAGAAGAACGAGCAGAACTCATTTATGATACTGGAAATCACAACTGTGATGGCCTATGAGTGGGAGATTGAATAGAAGGAACCCCAATGAATCATTATGGGGGATGGGAAAGTTCTCTGTCTTGAATGGGGTATGGTTACACAGATATACACATTGATCAAAAATTACTAAACCATACTTGTAAGATCTCTGCATCCCACAGTATGCACAAGTTTAACTCAATAAAATATCACAAGGGAGAGGGAAAAAACTTTAAACCAGACTTTCAGTTCAAGATGGTAAACTGACCGTAAGTATTTATCCTCTCCCTCAAAAGAGTAACTATGAAGAGATATGAAACACTATTCTATTTATCATGTCCTGAATAATTATATAGTTATTTTCACTTGGGGATAATCTATCTAAATGTACACTTAAGATTTGTACACTCTTCTGTATATACATTTATTCAACTTTTTCAGCCCTAATTAAAATGTGCAAACGATAAAAGTAACTGTTAAAAAGACTGTAAAGTGAATACGTCAACTAATGTCCTAATATCTTATAGGATACCTAGAGTATTCCAATAAAATAAGCTATAGATCCATTTTCTCACCTCATCTTTCATCCTGTATTTTGTAGCATGTTTGCTAAAAATGGACCTTCAGCATTTATGTGAGTAAACTGACTTTTCAAAAAAATTTTTTAACATTTATTTATTTTTGAGAGACAGAACACAAGCAGGGGAGGGGCAGAGAGAGAGAGGGAGACAGAGAATCTGAAGCAGGCTCCAAGCTCCGAGCTATCAGCACAGAGCCCAATGCAGGGCTTGAATCCACGAACCATGAGATCACAACCTGAGCTGAAGCCATACACTTAATCGCCTGAGCACCCAGGTGCCCCAAGCTGTGACTTTTACATGATTATGTGACTTTTATATGATCTTCCATATCAGAAAGCCAAATCTCCAAATCTCCACTACGTCCTCTGCCAGACTGCCAAATTCCATAAATACTTCTTAAGCTTAGCATCTGATAAATGTTGAGAAGAACATGACTGACATGATGAGAGTGTGGTTGAATTCAGAAATCAAAAATGTATAATGCCAGTAGTTAACATAATTATTCTATATCTCCAACAGCATTCAGGAGTAGATAAAAGGGGCTGGGTTACAGAAGGACATTGGCTGATAATATGGAATCAGGATCCTCCCCTTTTCTACTCCCAGCACCTCACAGAATAAAAAAATAATAAATCCTTCAGACCTTTGATCTTTCACCTCTGGTTTCATAAAGTTTTGTTTGTTTATAAAAGCAGTTACTAAATATAAGTGTGAATTTCAGTGGCAAATTTTTTGCAGCCTCATTAATTTGTACTGTCAGGATTACTCTCACTCCTCCTTGGGAAACTCCCTTTGCCCCTCTCCTGAGGGCACGTGCATACTTAGTCTCTCTCTTCCACGCTCAGGGCTCCTTTGCAAAGATGTTTTCATCACCTATTGCAATCTGAGGTTTAAATGGGTCCTAATACTTAAAAACGACACTTCGAGGCAGGATCCTGCATCCCTTACACAAGAGCACCGGTACTTGGCTAGGTCTCTGTGTCTCTTATCACTGACTTGGATCTCTAAGACTCTGATCACTTTGAAAAGTCCATGTATTCCCACTTTCTCATGGCCATCCGGAAGGCTGAGGAGAAAATCTTAATCATTTCCTATTGAGAATTATACTCTAACATAGGGAGGAAAAATTAATATTTAAAATATTCTGATGACAAGATCAGAATTCTCCTTTTGGTGTTTCCAAATTCCCACTGACTCTAACTTTAATTATAAACTGAATAAAGACTGTTTCAGAATTTCCTTAAAAGCAAAAATCAAAACAAAACAAAAACAAACAAAATCCAGGCTGACATAATCCACACAAATAAAGGTTAAAGATCAAGATCATAAGGGAATAGGTAAAGAAGGGATGTTGTTGGGAGTACAAGTGAAATGGCCAACTATAGAATAAAAGGGAGGAATAAAAAAGGGAGTATAAAAGGGGAGGAAATGCAGCCAAGAGACTTGAACTCACTAGGAAAGTTAGAGGACTCTGGGACCAGAGATCACAAAGCACATTTATCAGAACTTAAGCAGCAGAAAGAAGACAAGATGTAACAATGAAAAAAGAAGAGTTTCAGAGTTCAAGACATATTTCATTTACCAACTATTGCAACTAGAAATGAATATAGGAATATCTATGATTAGAATTGTCAAGCTATCACATAATGCCTGAACCAAAGTAAAATCTGAATAAATAAGGAGTAATTGCTGTAAATGGGTGGAGAAAATCCAAATTACTTAGAATATTTATCTAGAACATAATTAACTATAAATTCATAGCTACTAGAAAAAAAATTAAAATTATTTCTATAAATAACATATAGCCCATCTGATATTTTTAGATTATCCAATCAACTGTTCTCTTCCTTAAGGATAAATTAAAGTTGATTGAGCAGATATTATATACATAAATATGGAGCCAGATGTACTCAGTAAAACAAAATTTCATTTTGTTCTATAGCAATTTTAAAACGTGAGCATGATTTATATAAGTTTTTTCTTTATGCAAGAATATCTCCACTGCCCTTATAACTCAATAGTGGGCATGAAGAGATTAACCATAAATCTAAAGAAGGCAGATAACTTATAAAATAGACTTCTTCATCTCACTGCAGACTCTGAACAGAGCAAAAGAACAATATGAAATAAGACATTAAGATTCTCAGTAATCAAAAGCAATGGGTAAGATTAAATCACAGACCAGTGAAACTGGTCTTGGCGCCACATAACTCATTATACATCCAGTCTATTAGTTGGATTCTTTTGCATAACATCTCAAATCTGACTGCAAAAATGGACCATTCTCCAATCAGCAAATGCATTAACAACAAACGTGTCAATAATAAAATTACACTTAATGCAATTTTCTTACCTGCCTCAATAGTTTCTCAATAGCTGACATTACCATAAGGCCTCTCCAAACAACTGGCGCAGTCTCTTCAACCAGGAAGCCCATAGACATACTGCAAGAGTAAACCAGAAATACAGCTAATTTACATATGTTAATCAATATTCTGAAAAGTAACATAAAGTAAAAAAGATATACTTACCAAGCAATACCATAATTCAAAAGAGGCCTCATTAGGTTGTCTGAAATTAAAAACAAAACCAAAAACCTCTCTTTTAGAATATACAAACATACTGACTTATTTTCTTATCATAAAGTATCAAATTAAAAATAAAAATGGGCTATTCAAACTGCTGCTCTTTAACTTCCAACTAATTCACCTCAATATGCAAAATATACAACAATTTAAACATTATTCCAAACACACAACCAATACCTCCAATATATATAACATCTAAAAATACTTGGGATAAAGCTTTATTTAGAAACATTTATAATTTTTAAGTGTTTCAAAAAAATTGCCTCCATATGAACCTGTTTTATTCATATATGTTGATATATAAATTACATGCATGTTTAGTATGTGTATATATGACAAGTACACACAAATACACATACATGCATCTAATAAGTTCTCCGTATTTCTTCCTTTTTCCTTACTTGAAGAATTTGAAAAGTACAAAAAATCCAAGAGGAGAAAAACTCTATTTTGTATCTCAACATAATAAAAGTCATATATTAAAAACCCACAGCAATCACACTCAATGTTAAAAGACTGAAAGTTTTCCTCTAAGATCAGGAACAAGACAGAGATGCCCACTTCTGCCTTTTTAGTTAACATAATACTGAAAGAACCAGAGCAACTACGCAAGAAAAAGAAACAAACAGCATCAAAATTTGAAAGGAAGAAGTTTTCTCTGTTCAAAGATGATATGATCTTATTTATTGAAAATCCTTAAGATTCCACAAAAAACTATTACAGCTATTAATGAATTCAGCTAAGTAGCAGAATACAAGTCAACACATAAATATCCACTGCAGTTTTATACACTATCAACAATCTGAAAAGAAAATTATGAAAACACTTCCACTTATAACAGCACCAAAAGCAACCAAAAGAATTAACTTAACCAAGGAGATGAAAGATTTGTACAATGAAAACCTCAAACCACTGCTGAAAAAATCAAAGACGACATAAATAAAAGGAAACACCTATCATGTTCATTGATTGGAAGACTTAAAATTGCGAATGTTCCCTAAAGCAATCCAGAAATTCAATGTAATCCTATCTAAATCCCAATGACATTTTTTTTGCAAAAACAAACTAACAAAAAAACACCCATCCTAAAATTCATATGGAATCTCAAGGGATCCCAAATAAACAAATCAATCTAGAAAAGGAGAATAAAGCTGAAGGATTCATAGCTCCTGATTTCAAAACTTAAAATACAAAGCTAGAGTAGTCAAAACTTAAATACAAAGCTAGAGTAAGCAAATCAGTGAGGTACTGGCATAAAGGCAGATATATAAGCCAACAGAATAGAATAGACAGCCTAGAAATAAACCATCACATATATAATCAAATAGTTTTTGATGGGAGACAAACATCATTCAGTGGTGAAAGGAAAACAAATGGTGCTGCGAAACTGGATATCAACAGGCAGAAGAATGAACTCAGACCCTTAACTAACACCATATACCAAAATTAACTCAAAATGGATCAAAGACCTAAATGTAAGAGCTAAAATTATAAAACTCTTAGAAGCAAACATAGAGCAAAAACTTCATGTCATTGGATCAAGCAACAATTTTTTGGATATGACAACAAAGGTATGAGAGAAAACATTTGCAAATCATATATCTTATAAGTGATTCATATCCAGAATATATTAAATATTTTTTTTCATTTTTTAATTTACATCCAAGTTAGTTAAGAATGCAATACAATAATGATTTCTGGAGTAGAATCCAGTAATTCATTACATATATATAGCATCCAGTGCTCATCCCAAAAAGTGTCCTCCTTAATGCCTCTTGTCCAATTAGCCCACCCCCCCCATTACCCCTCCAACAATTCTCAGTTTTTAAGAGTCTCTTATCTCCTCCCTGTTTTTATATTATTTTTGCTTGCCTTCCCTTATGTTCATCTGTTTTGTTATCTTAAATTGCACATGAGTGAAGTCATATGTTATTTGTCTCTCTCTGACCAATTTCACTTAGCACAATACACTCTAGTTCCATCCATGTTGTTGCAAATGGCAAGACTTCATTCTTTCTGACTGCCAAGTAATACAGAATATATTAAATCTTAAAACTTAACAACAGCAGCAAAAAACAAAACCTAATTCAAAAATGGGCAAAGGAAGTGAAGACACATTTCTTCAAGGAAGACATACAAATATCTTATACACAATATATACAAAGATACACACAATAGAATACTTCAAGTTTTTAAAGTCTTGAAAAAGAAGGAAATCCTGACGTGCTATATAACATGGAGGACGTTATGCTGAGTGAAATAAGCCAGTCACAAAAGAGACACTGTATGATTCCTCTTATGTGAAATATGTAAAGTAGTAAAAATCATACAGACAAAAAGGAGAATGGCAGTTGCCAGCATCACGGGAGGTCGAAGTGAGGAGTTACTGTTTGAAGGGTATAAAGTTTCAGTTTTACAAGACAAAAAAGAGCTATAGAGATAGATGGTGGTGATGGTTGCAAAACATTATAAACTATTTAATGCCACTGAACTATATACTTAAAAATGGTTAAGATGGTGCGGTGCCCGGGAGGCTCAGTTGGCTAAGTGATCAACTCTTGATTTCAGCTCAGGTCTGATCTCACATGATCTGACAGTGCAGAACCTGCTTGGGATTCTCTCTCTCCCACTCTCTTTCTGCCCTTCCCCCACATGCGTGCACTTTCTCTCTCTAAAATAAATAAATAAACTTTATTTTTTAAAAAAAGGTTAAGATGGTAAACTTATGTGTATTTCACCATAATAAAAAATATATATTTTAAGCTCTACTTTGTAATCTGAGACAAGAAGTTGCATTAATCTACAGGGGAAACAATCTACTATTTATGCCCAAGCACTAAAAAAAAAAAAAAAAAAAAAACCCAGAAAGAAAAGAAATGACAGTTTACAGTCAAGTAAAACATATGTAAACTATAAAATAATTTAAAGCACTATAAAATATGATTTCTTTAATCAAACTATCTGTATAGCCACATTCTCATTCATTCTAGCTACTATATTCTATTTCACCATAATAAAGTTATAGTAAAAGCCCTCTAGATACTTTATGCAGTTTGAGCTAGTATTGAGCTAAAAGTTTAGGACAGATCATAAAAATTCTAGTAGAATTTTGCAGTCAGATTTCATCAATGTCTTTTAGGTTGTTTCTCCTTCTTAAAGAGACTGAAATTAAGAATTGTAGATAAAACATATAGGCATGATTTATATGTCAGTTTTTTCCCAAAGCATCCAACTTAAACTTTCAAAGTAACTTTTCACCATTGTCTCTGTAGTTTTGATTCTCTGATTTTCTCCAATTATGTATGGATACAGATTTAAGAGTCAAGTTGCACTATAAAATTGTTACTGAAAGTTAATAATCCTACAACGTTCTTCCATTTGTTACTCCCCAGAGCCAACAACTCTCAACCCAAATGATTTTTTTAGCTTCTTATTTTGAATTAACCTGAGGCTTATAGGAAGTTGAAAAAATAGTGCAAAGTCCTCATATGCCCTTTACCTAGTGTTCCCTAATGTTAACATCTTATGTAACCAGAGTACAATAACCACAACCAAAAAATTAACAGATACAATATGATTAACTAATCTGTAAGCCTTATTCAAAGTTTTACAATTTTTAGTTATCTTATAAAATATTATAGAACTTAGTTCTTTTTCATGAACACAGGCATACTTTTCATGAACTCATCCTCTCAATGTAATTATATCACTATTTTAACTAAATAATCATGTAAATGTTATGAATAGCTGTGCAAATGGTATAAAATATGATTATTTTTATTTTTCCTTTGTCCCCCTGAATTGATGGTAGGGAGATCTTTGTAGTGTATGTATTTCCTAGTAATTTGCTCCTAGACTACCTCCCAGTTTTGTAAATATCAAATACATAAATCAAATGCACTAGGCATTTGTGTCCATTATCTTGAAGAAGCTTTTGCTTAACTCTTTATAGTGTCTTTTGAATAAAACAATTTCTAACTAATGTATGGTTGAAAGGAGAAATCAGTAACTGTTTTTAATTTCCAAATATATAGGTGTTTTTAGTTATCATTTTGTTACAAGCTTCCAAATTAATTGTGTGGTAGTTAGAAAATGTAGTCTGAATGATACCAATTTGAAAATTCACTGAAACTACCTTCATGGCCTATTCCATAATCAATTTTTATAAATGTTCCAGGTGTGCTTGAAAAGAATATTCTATTTATGGCCATTAGATCAAGCTTGTTTGAAGGTGGTAATTCTTTACATTCAGTAATACTTTTGCTTTAAAGTCTATTTTGTCTGACATTAACATAACTATACTCAGTTTTATTTCGCTCTGTTTATGCTTTTTAATCATTTAGCTTTTACCCTATATTTTTATGTTTTCAGTAATATCTCTTGTAAATAGCTTTAACCTATCTGGGTTTGGTTTTGTTTAATTTTCATTTTCTCCTGTCTTAAAGGATTTTTTTAAACTAGAAAGTTGTATAATATTCATATTTACATTGCTGATATATTGGAGTGCTGAGGAGGCTCAGGTGGTTGAGCATCCGACTCTTGATTTCAGCTCAGGTCATGATCCCAGAGTTGTGGGATGGAACCCCATGTCAGGCTCTGCACTGAGTGTGGAGCCTTCTTGAGATATTCTCTCTCTCTCTCTCTCTCTCTCTTTCTCTCTCTCTCTCCCCCTCTGCCCCAGTCCCTGGCTCGCAATCTCTAAAATAATTAAATATATGTATCGCTGATATATTTATACTCATATTTACTATTCTATTTTGTACTTTCTCTTAGCCTCCATTTTTTTAGTAGTTTTACATTGTTGCAATTCTTCCCCCTCATTATATTTTTCCCTCTATAGAAATCACATAGTACATTTCTAGTCTTGTAATGATTATCTAGTATTTTTTTTTAAAACATCCTTAAAGTGTGAAGTTAAACAGTAGTTCCACCTTCTTCCTTTAAAAAACATGTGGTTTGTTTTTTTTTTTTTTTTTTTTGAGA